TCCGATTTAAACAGGTTATACTGTACTTTAAAAATCCACATTTCCTATGCATAACGCTTTAAATGATTTTAAATACTAACACAAGTCTGATCTCATTACAATTTTCCTCCAACATAGTGACGTGGGCTTGTTTAAATGAATGAGGGCGAGATATTCAAGGTCACTGGAGTCAATATGAACTCTGTATTACCATGAGTTGTAGAATAATGGTAGTTTTCCTTTAGGTATTTTATTTTGCAAGGTTCTATTTTTTCCTGTATGAATAACCCCGAGTCACTCCCAGGGTCATCAGGGTCATATCAATTGACTTTCAACTGCTTCTAATGAAGTATTATACTTATCAGAAAAGTATTAAGTGCAACATTTAATAACACATGCTATAAGTATGAAAAGAGTGTATGTTCATTTCATTTCATCAGATTTTATTGACTTTCTATATGTCAATTGGATTGGACATCAGGCTAGGCCTATTTAAGTCCTTTCCAAACTTATTTACAAACATTACATATATTCTGTCATAACAATCCAATTAAACAGTGCAGGGGAGATAACTCCAATTTAGCTTGTGAAATGAACATCTTACAACTTTTGTTTAATCATTTTCTGTTTATGTTTTAGATATTAACAATTAAATAAATCATGTATATTTATTGACAACCCATCCTACATAAGATCCAAGGGATACAGGCCCAAAAGTCCCTGTGTATAAACACATTGGCCATCCACCCACTGGATATATAGGATAAGTTACCAAGAAATAGACATTTTGTAAAATTTCAGAATATGATATGGATTCATATAGGAAAATGTAGTTATTATTATATATTATTGGAGTTGATTCTCTTAAAATGTATTTAACAAAGCACTATAGAATATTCATGTAACTATGAAATAGTTAGAACAGGTTATAGAATAGTACACTCATAAATTTCATCCAGTCCAGCCGAATACCAGAGATGTTGTGAAGATAGATATACACCAGTATCAATACTTATTAGCAGAGTGATCATGACACTATAAATAATAGCATCACTTTCAATGTAAAGTTTTGCTGTGAGTGAGATTACATATCAAGCCTATTAGTTTGACAAATGTAGTCAGATATACTTTGTAAAATGGATATGTTAATATCAGCGCTGCATATTAAGCATCCCTTTAATAGAGTTTTTAGATTAAAATGATCATGATTACCAGTTATACCAAATTGAGAAATTTTGATTACTAATTGCATTCTAAAGTTGTTATAGAGTGGGCATTCAAATATAAAATGAAATGCATTTTCATTTTCATGTCCACATCTACATGCTGGTGTTTCATTCAGATGATCCATATATAAGTCACTATTTAGGTTGCTAGCATGATTTCTCAGCTGACAAATTATGATATTGAATTTTCTTGGCCCATAGTATTTAAATGTGCTAGCAATTTCTTCAGTGTTGTTCATATTATCAGATTTGATGAAATTTTTAAATTGTTGAAGGGAAGTAGCATTTAAGGTTTCTGCAGATAGAAGGTTAAATTCTCTACACATTGAGGGAAAATAACTATTGAAATAATTCTCAGTTCTACAGAAAGGGGGATTGAAAATACGGCTATTTCTTAGTGGGTATCTTACATTTATATTGCTGTGAAGGTATGGTTCAATGATGTCTTCTAAGTACTTAGGCGATTCATTATTTAAAATTTTGAACATAAGTGCTAATTTATGATTTTTTCGCCTACAACAAAGTGATTCAAGTCCAGTTTCTGCATAAAGCTTACAATGAGAGGTCCCTCTACGCAATCCTGTAATAATTCTTAATGCCTCGATCTGGATTGACTCAAGAATATTTTTATTTTGGTTACTACAGTTATCCCATACTACATCCCCATATTCAAGTATTGGTCTAATAAAAGAGGTATATATTGTTATAAGACTTTTTCTATCCAATTTGTGTTTTAACATTCTCAATATATTCATTCTTTTATAAGCTAGCTCATAAATATTGTCAATATGATATGTCCATTTTCCATCACTACTAAAAGTTAAACCAAGATGCTTATGAGTTTGTTTATTAGTTACAGTTTCATAACCAAATAAGATATCTGGATGATTTTGTTCCCTTTTCCTTGAGAAGATTACAGATTCAGTTTTTAGTGAATTAAATTTGATATCCCATTTTTTTGCCCATGCATTAATATTACCTAGATCATTATTTAATTTCACTGCAATTTCATTTTGATTGTTGTCTATTACTTCATAGAGAGAAGTATCATCTGCAAAAAGTTTTATTTTACTTGTTACACATTCTGTTATATCATTAATATAGATTAAGAAAAGAAATGGACCAAGGACCGAGCCTTGGGGTACACCGGCTTTGACATGCTTAAAAGTTGAATAAAAACCCTCTGTTGATACTCTCTGTTTTCTATCAGAAAGATAATTACTGAACCATTGTAATATTTTCCCTTTTATGCCATACGATTCCAATTTAAAAAGTAAACCCTCATGCCAAACTCTATCAAACGCCTTACTTACATCACAAAATACAAATCTGATTTCATTATTTTGATCCAAGTTATTTACAATAGTGTCATATATAGATAATAACTGGTTTACAGTCGAGTCTCTTGGTAAGAAGCCTGATTGGTGTTTCGTTATGATATCACATTCATTCATATAATTAAACATATATTTAAAAATAACTTTTTCAACAATTTTGCTAAAACATGATGTAATAGATATTGGCCTATAGTTAGAGACATCATTTTGAGCACCCTTACCTTTGTATATTGCATTAATATTAGCTGTTTTCCAAGAAAGAGGTATAATACCAGATTCAATAGTCTTATTACAAAGTAAAGTTAGAGGACATATTAGAGAAGGTGCTAATTTCTTTATTATCTTGGGTATCATGCCATCTGGGCCAGGAGGTTTTTTATCATTAAGTAAACACAGTTGATCTTTAATGTCCTCTTCAGATATAATGATATTGTCTAGAAGGAAGGGAAAAGTATTTTCATGGGGGGTAAGGGGTTCAAGATTTTCAGAAGAAGTTGATATTGAGCTGAAGTAGTTATTTAGACATTCTGCTTTTTCAAATGGATGATGTATTAAGTTATTATTTTCAGAAAGAGGAGGAAGACAATTTGATACATTATTTGAATTCATGACAGATCTAGCAATTTTCCACCACTTATTAGGAGGCACAGATTGGTCACTAAGCGATTGTTGTAATTTTTCGTAATAAGTGTTTTTAGCTTCTCTAACAAGGTCTACTACTTCATTTCTAGCCTTTCTGAAATTTTCCCAATTAATTGCAGTGTTGTTAGTTACAGCTTTTTTATGTAATCTATTTCTCTGTCTAATTTTTTGCCTTATAATATTCCTCATCCAAGGTTTATCATTAGGGCGAACAGTTATAATTTTGGATGGTATACATTCTTCTATTTGATTATTAATAGAATCTGTTAAAAATTTATTAAACTCATTCGAGTCAAGAGTATTTATTAGTATTTCCCAATTTATTTCATTTAGAGCTCTATTCATTTCATCAAAATATGCATTGTCATAGTTTAGTATAGTTTTCTGGTAGGACTTTTGCTTAAATACAGAATATGAACAGGTAAAATGAATAACAGAGTGATCACTGCATATTGGTGTATTCACTGTATTATGTTTTATAAGATTAATATTATTAGTGAATAAAATATCAATAGCAGTGGCAGTAGTTTGTGTTATCCTGGTAGGTTTGTTAATTAGATTTGTAAAGTTATATTTTACCATTAGTCTATTTAAATGGTGGTTAGTAGGTATATTCAACATATTTACATTTATATCCCCAGTTATTATGATGTTAAGTGATGTGTTACATGCATTATCTAGAACATGGTCTAATTTATCCCAATATTCAACATTTGATTCAGGTCTATAAATACATCCTAATAATATTTTTTGCTTATTGAGTAATACTTCAATCCATATCATTTCTATATCTTCATGCTCAAGATCAATTCTTCTTTCAGTATGTACTGTGTCTTTGTGATAAATAATTACTCCTCCCCCAGGTCCAGTTTTTCTATCAAGTCTGTGAATGTTATGGGAATGGGAGTTAAGTGTTATTTCAGCATCAGTTATATTTGGAGAAAGGTGTGTTTCAGTAAGACATAATATGTCACTTTCATGTAATTCTGCTTCAATGATATCAAGTTTGGTTCTGAGAGATCTAACATTAAGATGTGAGATTTCTATGTTAAATTGGGGTCCTGGATTTAGTTCAATATCATTGCAAAGAAGTAGTATATTTTTAATGGTACATAAAAGATATTCAATGTTTTTAAGTTTGAAAAAATGTGATTCATCAAAAAGTAAACAATATGTAAAGTAATAGCTAGGGTATGTAATTTTACCTGCAAATGCTCGGATGATCAATGTGTTGATATAGTAATAATCCTCACAATATAGATGTGTCCCAATAAATATAATTACGATATTCTTATATTTATCCATTTTCAAAGACAGTTGAGTGGTAAACATTAGGACACATCAATAGGTTTCTGGTGTAAACAAGCTTACGATAGGCATAATGACAATCTCTGGAATTCGACTGTGGACTGAGTGGACTTAGAGTAGAGTAAAACAGTACATTAAATGGAAAGTATAACAGAAAAGTAAGTAAAAAGACCGTATGCGAGGTATAAACATCATTAAACTGATTCATTACCTTAACAAGCAATACGGGATCAACATGATCAGAGACAGCATGGTAAGACTAAAAATAGATATTAACGTCACAAACATAGTAGTGAACAGGATTTGGTTTGCCTTCAAGAGTGTATGTTCGAACGTTTGTAAAGCTATGTCTACCACACATAAGTGTGTATTATTTGTGTTTAAAAAGGGTTTTGTTTAGGGTAGCAGTCAAAAGAATTGTAGTCTTACTAAAATGTATTATCAGTAAGTAAGTAAAATATTCTACTTTTTAAAATAAGACATTGCTGTTTCTATGTTATATTTACAGGATCTGTGACGTATCACTGAGATGTCTGATCAGGGTGAGCTGTACGAGAAGTGTTGGCTTCTGTATCACATCCTAGACAGGTCTATAGGGAGCCGGGAGACAGTGGCTGTCAGGAGGACACAGACAGTGGTGGCGGATCAACTACAAAATGCTGGCGGAAGTTGCAACGTTAGATTTTCAACGGGAAGTAGGGCAGAAGGAATGTTTGTAACGGGGTCGGACGCTGACACGATGTATACTTGCAATTATGTTATAGTTTTGTGCCCAGATCAGGACATCAGTCAACTGGACACCGCAAATAAAGTAATTTTAATGATGAGAAAGGCTAGAAGCCGACCTGGTTATGTAGACCTGGAACTACTTCATCGGGGACAGATTTGTATGTCATGTTTTGAGCAATCTATTGTTCCAGTAGGTGATTCACTTTTCGTATCAAGTGAAATATACCGACAGACAATTACTGATCGCATGAGTAAATTCGGTCAGATACATTTAGAGAGTCATGGCCCAGCAACTCTGTTTAAGGGTGGAGACAATTTCACGGAATTAGATACTGTAGTTTCCTTTCCTTGTTATAATTGGCCAAGTGAAGCTAATGAGTGGATGAATAGACCACGCCTACATGGCTGGCCAGATAAAGCTTTGAGAGATCAGATAGTACAAGGTGGCTGTCATCTAGTCCCTGTAGGGGATAAAACGTCTGCTGATCCGTTCCTACAGTGGAGAATATCCTTCACGACTGCGGAAAGGAAACTCTTTCATTCTTTAACGCATGTCCAGTTGTTAGTATATGGACTTCTTAAGTACTTCCTGAAACAGATATCTGGAATTTTGGAACAAATGTTAGGTGAAGCAGATATTCTGTCTTCCTATATTATAAAAACAAGTATATTATATGCAGTAGAAAGCACAAGTGAATCATTTTGGCAGGAAAAACATACGTTTCTATGTTTCATGTTTTGTTTGAAGATTTTGATCAATTGGGTGAAAGCAGGATACTGTCCAAATTACTTTATTAAGAAAAATAATATGTTCCTTGGCAAAGTTCATGGCCAAAATCAACAGAAACTTCTTCGTTATCTCACTGTCCTCCATGATATGAACTGGAATTGTCTTTCAGTTGGAACAGTCATACAACCAACCATTGGAGAGCGCATCCATAGTGTGAGGAATGGAGTATGGGATTATGTTCTACCTTCACCAACACGTTCAGAACGTGAACGTGATTTCGAAATATTACACAATATTCCATTGCATTTAATCCTTCATGCTGATAAAATTCCTTTGTCGTTGGAACCCCTTTCAGCATCAAAGTCGGACATAGATGAATTCATAGCTTTCTACGCTACTGTTCAGTCACTATCTTGTAAAGGGATGAAGATGTTTGGTGAACACATCAATGGTAGAGGAAATAAAGAGAAGTACAAATCTCTTTGGAAATGCAAGAACCTACTAAGACCATTTTCAACAATGTGTACAAGTCCAGGCCTACTTGGTTTGGCAACATATCACTATCAGACTGGGAACTACATGAAAGCACTTGAAATGTGTGATCACATGACGACTTCATCCAAATTTTATCTCGATGGTATCATAGACTGTAAGGAGGATTGGGACAGGTATGAACAGCGCTATTGTGGATGTGGGTACAACCTACTGCAAAAATGTCAGGCATTTGTAACAGACATGAGGTTCAGTAAAAACACTTTACAGTTCTGTCCATTCCAGTTACAACAGGTGATCACAAGTAAACGTGAAATCTGCCCACCACACCTGCTACAGCTCCTCCCACCCCAGTTACAACAGGAGTGGACAACTTACTCTGACAGAATGATATTCTTAGTTCCACCCCTCCCTTACGCTGTGTTCCTGTCTTTTCTGTGTTACCATGAACTGGGGGACACTAGGAGACGTGACACAGCATTGATTCATCTTCAGACCGTAAAGTATGTCGAGGGACAGGGAGTCGGTGACCACTGGATAGTACACAATCTCTTGGGGATCTGCTATGAAATGGTTGGAGACACACATAGGGCTCTCAGGGAGTATAGGGACTCTCTTGGTGTTCCATCAATGTCTCAGCTTCTGAACCCTGCCAGGGAGTTGATTGAACGTTTACAACACGTACATTAAAGGCAATCATGCGACAATCAATATAATACTTGCACATTTGGCCAGTATTTAAGGTATACACCATAACATTCAGGAACTTCATTGTTCTGCCCACACCAGTTACATCTTGAGATAAAATATCTTTTCTGACCGAAATCAATTCCCAGATGCATCCCTCCCTTCCGCCGTGTTCCTGTGTTTCCATGAGCTTGGAGACACCAGGAGACGTGCTACAGCATTGATTCCTTTTCGGGCCGTGAAACATGATGAGAGATTGAAAGTTGGTGAGCACGGGATAGTACATAACCTCTTGGAGACAATCAAAGTTATACTTGTACATCGGCCAGTATTTAAGTTATACAGACTAACACGATACTTAACATGTGTATAGATTTTTATAGATATGGTTGAGTATGACTATAACCCCCCACCAACCACCCCCACCCCCCAAACCCAACCCAATCAAATCCCCCCCAAAAAGATAAAAATAACTGTGACTTTCATCATCAACAACTTCAGTTGGGTGAGGGTACTGTCATCACACAGTTGGGTAGGGGTACTGTCATCACACAATTGGGTGAGGGTACTGTTATCGCACAGTTGAGTGGGGGTACTGTCATCACACAGTTGGGTGGGGTACTGTTATCACACAGTTGGGAGGGGTACTGTTATCGCACAGTTGGGTGGGGGTACTGTCATCACACAGTTGGGTGGTGGTACTGTTATCGCACAGTTGGGTGAGGGTACTGTCATCACACAGTTGGGTAGGGGTACTGTCATCACACAATTGGGTGGGGGTACTGTTATCACACAGATGGGTGGGGGAACTGTCATCACACAGATGGGTGGGGGCACTGTTATCGCACAGTTGGGTGGGGGTCCTGTCATCACACAGTTGGGAGGGGTTCTGTTATCGCACAGTTGAGTGGGGGTGCTGTCATCACACAGTTGGGTGGGGTACTGTCATCACACAGTTGGGGGGGTTACTGTTATCGCACAGTTGAGTGGGGGTGCTGTCATCACACAGTTGGGTGGGGTACTGTCATCACACAGTTGGGTAGGGGTACTGTCATCACACAATTGGGTGGGGGTACTGTTATCACACAGTTGGGAGGGGGACTGTCATCACACAGTTGGGAGGGTTACTGTTATCACACAGTTGAGTGGGGGTACTGTCATCACACAGTTTGGAGGGGGACTGTCATCACACAGTTGGGTGGGGGACTGTCATCACCCAGTTGGGGGGGGGTACTGTCATCACACAGTTGGGAGGGTTACTGTTATCGCGCAGTTGAGTGGGGGTACTGTCATCACACAGTTTGGAGGGGGACTGTCATCACACAGTTGGGTGGGGTACTGGCATCACACAGTTGGGTGGGGGTACTGTCATCCCACAGTTGGGTGGGGGTACTGTCATCCCACAGTTGGGTGGGGGTACTGTTATCGCACAGTTGGGTGAGGGTACTGTCATCACACGGTTGGGAGGGGTACTGTTATCGCACAGTTGAGTGGGGGTGCTGTCATCACACAGTTGGGTGGGGTACTGTCATCACACAGTTGGGTGGGGTTCTGTTATCGCCCAGTTGGGAGGGGTACTGTTATCGCGCAGTTGAGTGGGGGTACTGTCATCACACAATTGGGTGGTGGTACAGTTATCACACAGTTGGGTGGGGGTACTGTCATCCCACAGTTGGGTGGGGGTACTGTTATCGCACAGTTGGGTGGGGGTACTGTCATCACACAGTTGGGAGGGTTACTGTTATCGCACAGTTGAGTGGGGGTACTGTCATCACACAATTGGGTGGTGGTACTGTTATCACACAGTTGGGTGGGGGTACTGTCATAACACTTAAGACTGATTTAATTAAACACTGGTTCAATAATTGGACAGGTTTTGTATTTCACAGCAGTGATCCCTTAACTTTGTGTTTTCCAGTAGGTTATCATCCTTTAATTCAAGGAAAACACATTGATTTCAGAAACTTAACCTTAGTTAGGCATTTCTACGGAGAATTTTAAGCTGAGAAGAGTTTTATGAATATCTTGCTTTTTATCAGATGAGCTGAATGACCCGGAATTTAATTCAAGATGAGCCGAATGACCCGGAATTTAATTCCATATCACGGAACACATTTTATTTCATGTTACTGAGAGTAAGGGTCTTTCATTAGTTTCTTTTTAGTAAGATATGGACGTACAGGGAAACACAGCTTATTATTGCTGACGGGCTACTTTAGTAAGGCGTTAATTATATATATAACTGGTATAAAAAGAGCGTACATGTACAGTGAGCATACATGTACAATAAGCATACATGTACAGAGAGCATACATGTATAATAAGCATACATGTACAGTGAGCATACAAATACAGTGAGCATGCTTGTACAGTGAGCATTCATGTACAATGAGCTTACATTTACAATGAACATGCATGAACAGTGAGTATTCATTTACAATGAACATACAGTTAAAATGAGCATGCATATACATTTACAGTGAGCATAAATGTACAATGATCATACATGTACAGTGAGCATAAATGTACAATGATCATACATGAACAGTGAACATTCATGTACAATGAACACACATGTACGGTGAGCATGCATGTACAGTGAGCATACATGTACGGTGAGTATGAATGTAAAATGAGCATACATGTACAATGAACATACATGTACAATGAGCATACATGAACAATGAGCATGCATATGCAATGTGCATACATGTACAATGAACAAACATGTACAATGAACATGTATTAAGAGTGAGCATGCATGTACGGTGAGCATGCATGTACAGTGAGCATACATGTACGGTGAGTATGAATGTAAAAGGAGCATACATGTACAATGAACATACATGTACAATGAGCATACATGAACAATGAGCATGCATATGCAATGTGCATACATGTACAATGAACAAACATGTACAATGAACATGTATTAAGAGTGAGCATGCATGTACGGTGAGCATGCATGTACAGTGAGCATACATGTTCAGTGAGCATACATGTACAGTGAGCATACATGTAAAGTGAGCATACATGTACGGTGAGTATGAATGTAAAAGGAGCATACATGTACAATGAACATACATGTACAATGAGCATACATGAACAATGAGCATGCATATGCAATGTGCATACATGTACAATGAACAAACATGTACAATGAACATGTATTAACAGTGAGCATGCATGTACAATGAGCATACATGTAGAATGAGCATACATGTACAGTGAACATATTATTATAAAATCAATCCATTATGTCCATTTACCTACCATCACTGGAGAGGACTTATATAGCCTATAAGCCTGTTGTCCAATCCTTTTGACAGTGTAACATTCTTCTATGTCAATATAATATGTTGAAATCAAAAAATGTACAGTGAACATACATGCATTATGAACATTCCTATTCAATAACCTTTTATGAACAATTAGCATACAAGTACAATAAGCGTGGTACATGCATAATGGGCTTCTATGTACAATGAACTTAAATGTACAATGCAACGTAATCATTTTAGCATTGAAATATCATATTTTTGTATCATTTTTATTACATAAACCTTTAAATGATGCACCGTCATCAACTTGTGTATGTCGTATTGCTATACGTCATCAATTGTTGATGTTTATATGTAACGATGTATACTTCTTGTGATGTCATAATGAAAATCAGTCCTAAATAGACTTAATGGACGAAAGTGTTCCGTGACTGCAAAAGGTTGATTTTTTTATGTATTGTTTTGTATTTTCATATTTTTACATTTTACTGCACTGTCCTCTAGCGTTAACAGAAGAAATTGCCTTCATAGCACTATGAACGCAGTTTACGTCGTTTTGAAGCTGCTCATCCCGCCTCGATTAACCAGAGGCAAATTTTGTGGTGACGTAAGGCTGTTCCAAGAATCTTGTTTGCACTGACGACATAGACATTTCATCATGGAAAATATACGGGAATTTTTATATGTATGTCAATAATAACGGAAAATTTAGAAAGTAAATCTAAGGATTGAACGGCATTTCTTTATGCTGTTTAATCCTTGCATAAACAATAGCGACTGCTAGGACAACGACATTGTATAAGCATTCTGCCCCTTTTATCGTGACAACAAACAGAATACAATTGTATATCATTAAGGTTCAACAAGTCCCCTAAAAGGTGCTGTATTCACCTAAAATGTCAACACCCTCATGTTCAGAGACCAATGAACAATCGGAACTTAGATATGTTATTTGTAGATATTGAACTAGATACAAAAAATACATAGCCAGGTTAACTTAGTCAAAATAAGGCATTAAGGGTGATGTATTTATAAAAATAGCTCACTGGACTCATACCATGTCAATCCCTTTTGCAATCCAACTGAGTGCTGAGAAATGACCCATAATTTAAAGTTTACTTATATACCTAGGTGATGCTGAGCTTTATTATCCCCCGCTTTCAGCAAAACGGGGGGATATTAATTTGGGTTTGTCCGTCTGTCTGTCACGCTTCGTTTCCGTGCAGTAACTGCAACAAATATTAACCTATTTTCTTCAAACTTGGTTTTAGGGTTTCATGCCTTAAGGGCTCGGCAAATTCCGATGACTTTATTTGGCAGACTTATGGCCCCTTGTATAACGAACAACGTCCTTATCTGCCGTTTCCGTGCAATAACTGCAACAAATATTAACCTCAATGGTACCAGGGGCAAATGCCTTAAGGGCTTGACCAAGTTAGATGACAACTTTCAGCAGACTTTATTTGCCGGAGTTATGGCCCCTTGAATAACGAACAACGTCATTATCTGCCGTTTCTGTTCATTGACTCTCGCAAATATTATCCGCAAATATTAGTAACAGGGTTCAACGCATTAAGGGCTCGGCCAAGTTTGAAAAACACTTTAATCGGACACCTTTTGGTGGAGTTACAGCCACTTGATTAACGAAAAACGTCCTTATCTTCAGTTTCCGCTTAAGAACTCTAGCAAATATTAACCAGACTCCTTCAAACTTGATAACAATGTTTGTGTTCCTCTGTCTTTCCACCCATCTCGAGCACTCGTTGGTTTTCGTGTGATAATTGTTGTAGATATTGTGCAGATATTTCAACTAAATTCCGGATGCACCTCCGACTCATGCTAAGTTTTCTAACCGATGTGTTATGTGCATAATTACGGATAATTAATGAGGTATAATGCTTTTTTTCTTCGAGTTTCAAGCTATACATTATGTCTTAACAGCACGATACTCAAATGTTTAAACTTAATCTCACTAATATTTACCTACAATATGTCCTGCAAGCGGGGGATATAAATTCCACGAATTTGCTTGTTTCTCTTCTACTAGCTGTTGAGAGGAATTCCGACCTGGTAATACATTTACGCAATTGATAAATAAAAAACAAAGACTAAGCTACCTTGATCGATAAAGGAACTTTAGATGATGTGCCATTTGATAACATTCTGTGATTATATGAATGCGCTAGACATGTTATTAAACATTGAAGCTGAAAAGTACGATAAGGTTTATAACAAGTCTAGCTCATTTATAACAACATTGAATGTTAAGAAAGGACACTTTATATAAAGTTTAAGTAGTGTTTATGGTCAAAGGTCTATGGCTTTTACACATATATTCCGGTAAAATATGTTACGCGGACGTTTCACATCTTCTTGTGCGGCCGGTATACCTTTCCATACGTAGTTAAAAAGAAATAAAGCCCCGCATGACCTACCTTCAAAACACATGTCATTTCGTAATTAGTTGAGTAGCTTAAGAGATTGGCATGTTATAAATCTGGTGAGCAACTTTTATCATTACGTCAGCCTTAATGCCGTATTTTGACTTCGTTAACCTGGTTATGTACCTTTTTAGTAGCTCATGAACAAGTTCAATATATTTTAATTACATATATATATATACCGATTTTTAATAAGGGTATTTAAATATGACTTGCCAGGGGTTTTCCTGTTTAAAGATTCACCTTTGATCCTCGGAAACTGATATTTCTGTTTGTTACTCTTGGTTACATGAACACGTTGAACCGGAGCATTAGGAATCGGTAGGGTTTATCAGTAAAATGTCGGGCTATAACCGGCCATCATTGACTGTCAAGGTTATTAATTTATTCATGAACATATAAGAATATAAACTTTCTATATTTTACAACATTTATGAAACGAGTTTTTTCATCTTGTATTAATCATTCTTGTTGGCCCGAATACTAGCGCGGGGAGTCTTAATTGAGAGGAAACCGGAGTAGCCGAAGAAAACCCACATTGTCGGGGAGATGACCCAATACCTTTTCACGTCCGATCGGGGAATCGAACCCCGGTCCTTTTGGTGAAAGGCAGGTTCGCTACCGTTCCTGTTCGCCTCTGAAAGCGCCTTCATTTTACGGACAGTTCGACGTTTTAAATTATTGTGATGAAGTATTTTGAAATTGTTTGCTGTACATCTCCTATAGGGTCT